AATTGCAGTGGGGGCTCTAATAGTAGTACAGAGAAATGAAAACAAGGGCCTCCATTAGGCTAGTGTGAAATGTAAGGAAAGATACCTGTATGGTGAACCCACCAGGATGAAGATTGAGGTATGTTGCTGCCATGGCTGGATGTGAGGCTCAGCCACTATATCCTATTAGTTTGAACAGACTGGGAAGGTAGGAGGAAGAATAGGTTAATCGGAGACGTTTAGTCTTGGATTTCCTGAGGCTCATGCATCAATGTAGTAGCTTCAGAGATAGCATTAGTCAGTGTCTTTTCTGTCTCTCCCTGGGCCTTAGTATATACCCTCTTGTCATTACTTGGGGGCAATGCAAGGCCTAACACATCTTAATACACTGGACTTGAACTCACTGAAAGCTTCACACTGTGGCTCGTAATCTGTGAATCATGTCTTTCCACAAAGTGCAGACTGTCTGGCGATGAAGATACATACACATTAAGATGACAAAGCTTCCTACAAACCAAAATGCTACAGGATAACCTCCGGGGTTAGTTTTTGCATCCTGTTATATATGCATCTGCCTGAGTGACACAGATATATAACAGGGACAGCACCCACTCATCAGTCATTTCTATCTGAGGAGGGCAGAATGGGTCTGAATCACATGAAAATACCTCCACTTCTTCTAACCTCAAGTGCTCCACCAGGTTGCATCAACATTTCCCTAGAACTCTGAGGTTGCTGTACTCTTCAAGGATACTAAAGATAAGGGAGAGACTGCCAAAATTTTAAAGGGAAAAGTCTTTGAAGAGCCAGCAGTGGGAATGGAGTAATGCTTCTTGGCATTTAAAGATGTCTTATACTATTGAAAGAAATTATCCATTATCTTGAAGTGTGCACTTGACTGAGTCTGCACTTACAGAAACATTTGGAGAATTTTAAAACATCTTTTCTTAAAAGAAAAGAGAAGAAAACTGGAGGCTAGTGAATACAGTATTATGTAGTATTAGGTTTTAGACCAAAAATGCCAAAGCAAAATTCACATATGGTGAAAGTAATGCTGTTTTCCAAGCTCTCTACATTACCAGACAAAAACAAGCCATCTATTAACAGTGTAGGAAACAAATATTACTGCCTTTAATAACTAGCTACCTGCTAGACATACAATTTGCCTCTTTATATAAAAAACAAGCACAATTCTCAAAAACAAGTTTAAAACTGGATAATAAGAAATGACCCAAGAATTAATTAACTAAATAAAAACTTAAGTAAATAAAGGAAAAATTAGCCTATCAAAATAAAAGAAACATGATTAAATTAGGCTCCAAAAGACCCATGAGGAACTCATAAAAGGAGTAATATGCACTTACCTGGTTTTTATTCTTTCATGATTTAATTTCTAATTTTATTCACTGCTATCTGATAATTACATGAAACACTTATTCTAACCATGGGCAATTTAAACTATTTTAATTTTTTATTTCAAGGCCATAAGACAAAGGAACCTATTTATTGCTTAAGGGAATTTTTTAAACAAAAATTAAAGCTTAATCTTTCATGTTTTAAAGCCAAGACTATTTAAAATCATTTATAATAATGCTGCAGGGAGACTTTTTCTTGGTATGCAAAATTAAAAAGATAAATTTACAATTATAAAAAAAATTAATAGTTTGGGGATTAAATTGTCCCTTTCCTTTGTCGATGAATTTGTCTGGAAATTAAGAGACATACTTAAACATAGGGTAAATTGAAGCCCCATGTAAAAGTTCTCAGAGAAGATGAGGCATCATGCATTTTACAGTGTGACTGTTATGGTACAGATAGTGAGCCCACTCTACTATCACTGTTAAAAATAATGTAATAGCACTAGCCTTGTTAATGGATTCTAACACTTTATTTTATAAGTGATAATCCTGATGAATAGAGCCAGGAATGCTACTAAACACATTTTCTACATCTCTGCAAGAGTCCCTGATGGAAATTATACAAGTACATTGACTTTTAGGTAAACAACAACAAAATATTTTTAGTTATGTAGAAAAAATAATCAAAATATGATTTAAACAGTTTCTGTTGCCACACTTAAAGGTTCTAATAAAATACTTTTAGCTATTTTACCAAGCACTCTTTAGCAGAGAAAAGCACTTTCAGTGATCCTCAGTTAGCTTCATCTACTGACGGGCATCATGCTGCTTCAGGAAGACAGGGGAGGACACTTTGCTAATGGGACATTTTGACCACATCATAAAAAAGGCTAAGACATCTTCAGATACATTTACTCGTTGGTTGCAAGAAAATGGAATGTTTTCATATCATTAAAATTCCCTTGTGACAAACAGGCCTAGGCTGAGCACCCTCCATTTTAAAAAGATTAAAATTAAATTCATAGTCAGGCATGGTACTTGGGAGGCAAAGGCAGGCTGATCTCTGGTACAGCCATTTTGGAGATTAGTATGGCGGTTGGGAATTAGTTTATCTCAGGACCCGGCAATTCCACTCTTAGGCATATACCTAAATGATCCACATCCATGCAACAAAGACATCTGTTCAACTATGTTTATAGCAGCATTATTTGTAATAGCAAGAACCTGGAAGCAACCTAGATGTCCCCCAACTGAAGAATGGATAAAGAAGATGTGCCACATTTACACAATGGAATACTACTCAGTGGGGGGAAAAACGTGGAATCTTGAAATTCGCAGTCAAATGGATGGAACTTGAAGAAACCATCCTGAGTGAGGTAACCCAGTCACAAAAAGAGGAACATGATATGTACTTATATGGATTTTAGACATGGAGAAAGAATCACCAGCTTACAATTCACACCGCCAGAGAAACTAGGACACAAGGAGGAACCTAAGAGATTCATACAAGGTCCTTCACAGAAGGGGAAAGGAACAAGATCTGAGCATATTGGGAATGGGGGGCAGTGAGTGGAGATGGAGTTAGGAGAAACAGAAGGGGAGAAGAGGAGAACATGTGGGACCAGGAAATTTGAGTCAGGGAATGAACAGACGAGAGCAGGGAAAAAAAAAAAAAAAAAAAAAAAAAAAAAGAGAGATACCATATTAGAGGGAGCCATTATAGGTTTGAAGAGAAAACTAACTCTAGAGAAATGTCCAGAGACCTACAAGGATGACCCCCAACTAACAATCTGAGCAATAGTGGAGAGGCTACCTTAAATGCCCTTCCCTGATAATGAGATTGATAACTAACGTATCCACCATCATAGAGCCCTCAGCTAGTAGCTGATGGAAACAGAAGCAGACACCCACAGCTAAACACTGAACCGAACTCCTGGAATCCAATTGCAGAGAGGGAGGAGTGATAAGAAAAGGGGTCAAGACTAGGTTACAGAAACCCACAGAGACAGATGACCTGAACAAGGGGCAGCTCATGGAAACCAGTATTGGACTGACTCAGACCCCCTGAACATGGGATGTATCCCTGGTGCATGAAAGGACTTTGGGAGCACATTCTCCATGGAGAGATAGTCCCTTAGCCTAGAGGCAGGAGGGAGGGCCTAGTCCCTACTCCAAATGACTTGACAGATTTTGATGACCCCTCCTGGAAGGCATCACCCTCCCTGTGGAGTGTGTGGGGGAATGGGACAGGAGAGAGGGTTGGTGGAAATGAGAGGGAGGGAGAGGGAACTAGGATCAATATGTAAAATATGAAAATAATAAATAAATAAATATAAAATTAAAAATATAAAATAAAAATTCATGATTTTCAAAATATTGGATGAAATAGAACTCATTATGGTTTGACTCTGAAATGTCTCCTATAGACTAATATTTTGAGAGCTTGCCTCCTAGCTAGTGGCATAATTTTATAAAGCAGTAACTTCTGGAGTCAGGAACTACCTAGAGGAAGTACATTACTGGAGGCATACAGTTAGGGGTCGTATTTTGTCCTGGCCATTTCCTGTATTTTGTCTTTACTTCCCGTTAGCCTTAGGCAAATAGCCTTCTCAACTAGATGGTCTCACAAACAGTGAAGTTCCTTGTAATTGGCCCAAATGACTGTGAACTGAACCCTCTGAAACCATATGCAAGACAAATCCTTCTTCCCTTTGCAATAATATGTCAGGCATTCTGTCACAGTGATGGGAGAGTTGACTAACACAGATGGCTATGGATCCACTGACTGTTTCATTTTGTTTTTGATACAGGGCCTCACCATTCTCTCTGGCTATCCTGGAACTCACTATGTAGACAAAGCTGGCCTTGTCTCAGAGGTGGAACTCACAGAGATTCACCTGCCTCTGCCTTTCTAAATGCTTCGATTAAAGGTGTGCGCCACCACACCCAGTTAAGCCTCACTGTTTTCTCTTCCCTCTCTCTCCCTCATTCCTGGGAGTACCAGGGCATGCTTGCTGGTTTACTATCACTTCAAGCTCCTTCTTGCCTCTGTCCTTTCTGAAAACTACATTGCTTCCTTCACTCTACTCAGGCTTTGGTACAAATACCACCTTTTGATAAAGGACTTACTTCTTTCAGATCCTTCACTGTATACCTTACTCTGTTTTTATCAACAACCTTATCTCATCTAAATGGATATACATCTATTTATTTATTTAATTTTCTGAGGTTTCCCAAGATTTAAAGACTCCTAGGTACAGGATGAAGTTGGTGTGAAATTCAACCCTGAAAAGGTCAGAGTTTGAGAATCAGCAGAAAATTCTTAAATGGCCCTTTTCCCCTTTGAGAGGATAGGACACAAAAGCAGGGCTGTGAGTCTGAAGGTCACTGTAGTAATATAAAAGTATCAGATGAACAAAAGGAAACTTTTGAAAAAATAAGGTGAGTATGTAAATTCTCTCATTGAAAACTTTTCTCATTTTATCTTTGAAAATGAAACACATATATTCAATTTACAGTAAGTCAGAGTCCCTGAGAGGGTTCTCCTGGTTCTATCCTGAGCACATGGGGTCTCAACACTTGCCTCTGGGTACATGACAACTTGCATGAATGAATACTGGTCCTATTACATCATGTGCAGGAAGAATGAGGCCTTCCACTTACCAGGACTTGTGAGGGCTCCCAGGGCACTGCTTGTGGTAGAGAGAGGGTTTGCATTGGTGCTGGTGGCTGAGGTTTGGGCAGCAGCTGCAGCAGCAGCCAGTGTTGCCAGATTCTGTAATTGTAAAGCATTCATGCCTGTAGAGGAAAGAGAAAAGTGCTGTTAGCCACAGGCCCAAATTTTCCTGTTTCTAAATGGAAATTCTCTCTCTCTCTCTCTCTCTCTCTCTCTCTCTCTCTCTCTCTCTCTCTCTCACACACACACACACACACACAGACAGACAGAGAGAGAGAGAGAGAGAGAGAATCCCTGTACCTGACCCTGTGATTTTATGTTCATCATAATTGCCTCAGGGATATGTGTGATTATTACACCACTTGACTAGGAATTGGGATTTGTTTCTCAGAGGATGCCTCCTTTGAGTTTTAATGATATCATCTTCCATTTCTAGAGATGGGAGTGCTAACAAGGGATACCTGCTTTATATCCAGTACTTCTGAGTAGACTCAGCTCACTGGGGCACTGTCTATCCTTATTTAGGACTGTCTTCCCTTGATGTTGTAGAAGTTCATAGCATATTCTGTATTGAATGGACAGAGACAGGGTAATGGGGACTAGCAACTTCTATCTTTGACTTAGCTGTCATGAAATGGTGAGAGCTGGGTATGCCTTTGGGAGAAGCACAGGGTGGGAGATAAACTGAATTTCTTAATTTGACAGGTACACAGAGGAATTAAAGTTCATTGCTTAAATGCTCCTGCTCTGAAACTGAACTGACACAGGTTCTAATCTTGGCTTTGTCATTTTCCCAGATTGAGGATGTAGGCAAATTACTCAGCCTCTTCATTTCTGGGTCCCAGGCTAATTGTACCTGGATGTAGAGAGAGCTGTGCAAATAAATATGTCAAATGCATATTAATCTAGCATGATCTAAGTACTCAATGAATGTTAGTGATGTCTCCAGATTTATCTTATTATGTATCCACAGTAGGAGCTCAGTATAAGATGAACAAAAATTGGCAGTACCCTTAAATCACTTTAAGTATAGCCTGATAACTTGAGGTTTCCATCCTCAGGACCTACATGGTAGAAGGAGAGAACCAACTCAGGCAAGGGGTCATCTGATCTACACATGTAAGTGGTAGTAGAGAGACAGACAGACAGATACACATACACGTTAAACCTAAAGCCAACATATTTTCTAATTAATTTTTATTTAAATTAACAACAATCTTATGTTATATACCAAACCCAGTTCCCTCTCCCTCCTGACCTCTCATTCCCCTCCCCCACCCAAATCTCCCCATCCCATATTCCATGCACTTCTCAGGGAGGGTGAGGCCTTCCATGGGGATCATCAAAGTCTGTCACATCATTTGGGGTAGGACCTAGACCCTCCCCTGTGTATCTAGGCTGAGAGAGTATCCCTCCATAGGGAATAGCTTCTAAAGTCCATTTGTGCACTAGGGATACATACTGGTTCCACTGCCAGAGGCCCCATAGACTACTAACACCCATGTTCAGGGGGCCTGGCTCAGTCTTATGCTGGTTCCCCAGCTGTCAGTCTGGAGTTTGTGAGCTCAGCCAACATATTTTTAACTAGAAGGAATTTCTTATTAGTAAAAGTTAAGAAACAAAATTCAATTGAAAATGTGCAAGAGTGTAGGGTGGGCTGAGATTGGGCCCCAGTCTATTGCCTTTGCTGTTTAAACTTTCAACATTCCCTCTTACTCCTTCTATTTCACAATCAACAGCTTCTCTAAAATACCTGAGGTGCTTTCCTCCATGATTCTTGTTCCAATAAATAAAAGTAACCAAGTTTCTCTTTCTCATAGAGATTGGAGTCAAGTAATCAGTTTAATTTTACCTTCTCCCGACTCAAATCCAGATACTCAAAAACTATCTCTTCAACAAATTTGATCTGTTTAAAAAGAGTGGCTTGATAAAGGTTCATACGTGCTGGGGGGAAGGAAGATAGTTTTTCTAGAAATCTTCCTAAGCAGACTTGCTGTCAGCAGTGCATGGCTGGCTGAGTGCATGAATAAGGGCCTGGCTGCTGAGACCTAGAAATAGCACTGTTTCCGTGTTCTTTTCTTGGAGTCCTGGTTTGAAAAGAAGCTCCTAAGGGTTCTGCTTTGAGTTCTCAGTATGCCCCAAATCACATCCTGCCTGCCTTCAGGAGCCATTGAACTTACCGGGTTGTGGTAAAGTCCAAAGAGTCCCCTACTTCTTTAGTGGCAATGCATAGAAGCAGGATATAGAATTTGTGAAATCTAGTGATCAAACGTGTCTGGGAATATAAAGCTCTCTCTGTCTCTCTGGCAATGGGCAAACAGTGGCATATTTATCAGAAGCACTGTGGGTATTAAGAAACACTGGGCTAATTTTTCAGTTTCCCTTTAGCAAAGTGAAAGTGGGAGAAGTACGGGAGCTGCCTGGCTTTAGTGGAGACCACTCAGAAAAATAAAGGCTGCATTTCTTGAAAGCTACATGAACACACTTCATACTCAAGTGTGACAAGGACATCTGGACAGTGAGTGATCTTGCAAAGAGTGAGGCCCACTGCACAGAGTCATCTCTCCTTTGGTTACTAATGGTCTCTCTAATGTTCTAATGATGTGAACCAGATGCCATACTGTATCACCAACAAGACAGTTGCACATATAAGAAGAGGATTTATCACTGAAATTAAAACCTCTACCATGCATTTGGCACCAATTAAAAACAGACAATTATTATAGACTCAGGTCAGAGGACCTTTTCCAGTATATCTAGGACTCTCCTTAAGCAGGAAGCACAGTATTAGATCCAGAGTCAGTTGGCTTGACTGAGTACATTCAGTGGGTTAGCAATATCAGGCCCTTGTCTGAAGTCTTGAGCATAGTCTTCTGAGCCCATGGTCACTGCATTCTGCCATACCTTACCACCTCACTCTGACCACTCAATTTGCATCTAACTCATCCCCTTTCTGTGTGTTAATCTACAAACTTCTTTACTTGTATTATATCCAATTTAGACACTATATGTAATTCCTACTTTTAAAACAAAGGTTTTTGAGGACAAAGATTCTATCTCATGTTCAAGTCTACCAAACACAACACAACACATACACACACGTGTGTGTGTGTGTGTGTGTGAGAGAGAGAGAGAGAGAGAGAGAGAGAGAGAGAGAGAGAGAGAGAGAAGTAGAGAGATAGGTCATGGACAGCTCACATAAAATGATCTGAATAACAGCAAACAATTTTAATAAACTTCACTATAAAGAACACTCTCTACACAGCCAATCATGGTTTTAGTTTTCTACACTGATAATATCAGTACCAAATATTCACTGTTCTTTCCCAATCATTAGTTAATTAAATGTATATTTGTTAGACAGACATCCTTTACCTTACAAACTTATGTTCATTACAGGTCTTGGAAACAAGCTGGCAACAATGAGGCTCTCTTTTCACTGTTCTGTCCCTGCATGAATTCAGGGTGAAGGGGTGAGGGGGTGAGGGGGTGAGGGTATGTGTCCTTTCCTCATTTCCCAGTCACCCATATCACCACCTGAGAGAGTTTCTGCCATCCTCTTCAACCTTTTCTTGTTGAGAAATAGAAAGACCAGGTACCAGGTAGAATAATAGACTAAGACACCACTCTAGGGGGTGGCTAACATGGTCCAAAGACCATTCTGCAATTCAAACACAGGCTATTGGCCAAGATAGCCAAGATGAACAGTAAAATGGAAAGGCCATAATAATCCCAAGCAACTGAGTGATTTAAGGAAGTGGAACAGGACAGAGTTTGATAGAGTCAGGTAGACTAGCAGTCCATTCTCTCATCCATATAACTACTCAGTCCTTACTAAAGACCTATGATGGGACAGATCCTGTGCAAGACACTGAGAATAAATGGACAAGGTAGTCTGGGCCCAAGGAAGCTCCCAGAAACTAGAATAGAGAGAAGTCAGTGACTGAGAGAAGTTCTTTTAGTTCACTAGTTTTGGGAAACAAGTCCACACTTGACTACAACATCATCAAAGTCTTTGATTTGATGAGATGAGGGAGAAGAAGCACAGAAAACCACTGGTCAGCTGAGGAGTGAGGGAATTACTGCCTTTCCCTGTCATGGTATCCCACATCCTATTCTAAAACAGAAGCACTCAGTATCACAGGGCAAATGGGGTAAGACAGCTTATCTGTCATCTTCCTAAGACTAGGCTGTAACTGGGGTTTCTTTTCCCGCCTGGCCCACAGTCACTTCAGCCCCAAATAAGCACATAGAGACATATTAATTATAAAACTGTTGGCCAGTGGCTAGGGCTTCTTATTGCCTAGCTCTTTCTTAATTATCAACCCATAGCTATTAATCTATGTATTTTCACATGATCTTGGCTTACCAGAGAATGCTAGGACATGTTACTCCTTTGGCTGGCTACCTGGCATCTCCTTGCAGTCTCTCTCTGTCTACATTTCCCAGAATTCTCCTCATCTCCTAGTCCCACTTATCTTCCTGCCTCTATTGGCCAAACAGTGTTTTATTCATCAACCAATAAGAGAAACATATATACAGAAGGACATCCCCTGTAACTAGGTCCCCTATTTATAGCCATGTTCTCTAAATTTTCAGTTTCTCAATACAATCCTGGCAAGAACATCCCATCCTTTACACTTACCTTCTATTTGTAGTGCCTGGAATGCACAAGATTCTATGTTGGTGACAAAAATCACAATTTACCAGAAGCAGTATAGCAGTGAAGAAGTGTACAGGCTCTCCTTTGAGATGGCCTGGGTGTATATAAACTCAGCTCTGTCACCTTTTCTAACTCCAACTATCTAGAGTAAAACTGGCTAACTCCTTGTGCCATGAGATCTCAACTAGAGTCTAATTCAAATAGAATCTACTTTTTGACAATCAGTATGTGAAAAGACAAAATAATGTGACTTTGTACAGAGCTGGGTTCAAACAGTAAGTTCTCTTAACTTCAACTAGCAATAGCAATATTATATCAAGTAAAGATCATAAGAATGAAGACAAAGCAGCTGCCATGTGTCTCATTGTTTTACATGTAATCTCAATATTCATAACAAAATTACATGGTATAGGCAATACTACTGTAGAATAGGTCATAGACAGAGGGAACTAAAGTGTA